CTATCAAAATGGAACAGCTTGGATTTAAATCCCCATGTCTAAAACCAAAGCCCAGCCTCTTCCCCCTGTCCTCAGTGACATTTTCACTTGCTGGACTCTTCCATCCTCATGTCTTGGGTTCCTAGAATCCCTGTCCCTCACCCCAACCACATATGCCACTTAAAGAAATAAATTTCCTCTCTGTCTTGGACCTAGTCCCTCTTGCTTCCAAAATACCAGGAGGAAAGAATCAATGATAGTGTAGTAGCTTTGAGTTTTCTACACACAATGGTCTGATGGGGTTAGATCTATTTTCTTCATTGTAAAATGTGATTGATTCGATTCCAAATTTAACTTAAATTTGATTTTCTTCTCTCAACCTGGCATTTCCAAACCAAGAATCAATCAAACCCCAAATTATAGGCAGTGTGTGGATCAACAATGCTGAGTTATTTCCAGTTGACTTTTTCAAGTGATGCATTTTATGCCATTCTCTGCTGCTGTGAAAGGAGTTGAGGGGTAAGAGGAAGGGGAAATGAAAGGGAAATTAGATTATTAACTTTCTCCAGTCCCGGCAATCAATAGGCCCTGGAGGAATTCTGTCCCTGCAGCACAGTTCATTCTCCTGTAAGTGATGGGGAAGTGTGGGCTGGGGAGAACTGTGACATCAGCCTTCTGAGGGTACTTGTGTTATAAGACCAGCAACTATCATTCATTTAGCTCTTTTCTCCTGCTAATTATATATGGTATCTTATTTTGCTATAACATTGGCTCTGAAAGAAGACCACTGTTCCCCTTTTTTCCGGATTGAGATTTTTTTTTTTTTCTTATGAGGGTTGGATCGATTGCCAAGTGGCTCACAGAGATTTTGTGGTTAAGATAGGATTTGAACATACCTGTGTCTGACTTCAAAGGCCACACGTACTGCAACTACACAATGGTGTCCTGGGACCCTTACTCTGTGATGAAGTGGGAAATAGCATGATGCAGGGGAAAGGATGGGACAGGGAGGATTCTAGTCCAACCTCTGTCACATGCAAACTGGAGTACAAGTAGGCAAGTCATACAATCACTCTGTACCTCTGTTCTCTGCAAAGCAGGGATAGTGGGAACAGTGTGCTGTGATGATTAAATGAGGTAATTCTCCCCCACTAACATGTGAGCTTCACGGACATTGGCTGCCTTCTTTCACCGTTATTTCTCCATGCCTAGAACAGTGCCCAGAAAGAGTTGATGTTGAATAAAAACTGGTTGGACGGATGGATGACTGGATGGATGGATAGATGGATGAGTGCCAGCACCATGTGGTTCTCTTTTCTGTCTCTGCTTCCTTATAATGGCGGTGCAGTGCAGAGCCTGCATGGGGAGGGGGTGGGTATAATGGGATAGATAGTTTCCACCTTATGGCTATCTACAACCCCTACTCAGAGCTAAGTGCTTATACTCAGTCCCTGGGCCAGGAACTCTTAGGAAGTCACCTTTGTTTTAGTCCCACTGTGAAGTTTCTGCCAGGTCCAGTTGCCATGGCAACTCCCCCAACCCAGGTGGCTGCTCCTTGGGCATCTGACCTTAGTGCAAACTTGACCTGCCTGCTTTCTTCCTCCTGGACTTCAGAGACAACTGGGGATGGGAGGGTGGATGGTTCAGGCCTTCTCTGAGTAAATGGTTGCCCCAGGGTGCTGCTCATTCCCATCTCCTTCCCACTTTCTTCTTCTTATGTCCTTCCATTTTCTCCTTATTCTTTTTGTCTTCTGTTTCTGTAAAGAATAATGCAGCTCCTGATATCTTCTGGTAATAACAAAGACGTAAATAAGTCCTGGTTTCTGCTATTAATGATGAGACAAATTCCTATATCTATTTTGGAAATTACCATTTACCAAGGGCCTGCTGTGTGCCAGAAACTGTGCTAGGCATTTGACATTTACTGTCTCATTTAGTTCTCACAACACGCTTGAAGGATAAGTCATTTTATTACTATTTTCTAGGTGAGAAAACTGAGAGCCAAAAAGCTGATATGAATTTACTCCCCACGTTGAGTCTTAATGACCCTGGGTTACTGTGCAGGTTTAAATGACATAGGAGATGCAATTAGTCTAGCAAGGGCCCAGGGAGGGAGTATGAGTAACTCCATTCCTAACGCTCAGCCCTCCTCCCCCAGACCAGAAAGCAGACCTGTGAAGCCTGGCTGGTATTTCTGGTCGTTGGTTAATTAGCGAAAGGAATGTCTTGGGCACATCCGTCTCTGTTGCTGTGTGGGCCGGGAATGAGAAATAACTTTTGCAGGGATCCACAGGATGCTACTGTCCATGACTCATTGTCCAGAGAATCCACTCCCCAATGCCAGGAGCTTCTCACTACCTTTCACACCTCATCCTCTGGACCCATTTCACCTTCCCAAGATGTGCTCATGCTGGACTTATCCTACATCTTCTTCCCCCCACCCCAAATAGACTCCATAGGAAACTCAGTGCTTCTACTCACTGCTATTGGGGGGCTGGGAAGTCACTAAATAAATAGGCCTGGGGTAATATGTTGACTTTTTAAGGTGAAATCTATGCAAAGCATCAACTCCTAGTACATCTTTATAGTAGATAACAGTAATGTTGGCTTGTTTATGCTATTTGGATACTCAAATATTGATATTATAAATATTTTATTTATTTATATTTATAAATATAAAATATTTATTATAAATATGCATGAAACATATTCTTGTGGCACTCAGATAAGAGATAAAACAGGTTCCTTTTTTTTTTGCAGTCATTTTAGGTTTTAGGGATTTCTCATTTCCTGACACCACACCCATCTTTTTTTATTCAATTTACTCTTTTATTTAACATTTATTGTACAACTATAACAATCAAGAAGGCATGAACAGGTCTTACCAGAAGCTATGCATTGTCTTAGGATAAAGAATAAAGACAAGGATCTTGTTCTTAAATTAAGTGACTTCCGGGTCCCAAGTGGTCATCTTGGCATGGGAGACAAAAGGTGGTGAAGGTGGGATCTCCTCCCTCAAGCAGCTGACCCTTTATTATTAAAAATAGCTTTCCATGCAACAATCCCAAAGCGTGCTGTCATAAAAGCTCTTGTTCTGGAACCCATCAGTATGGCCATGCTGGTTCGCATGGTTTTTGATTGGTTAGCACCTGTGCCATGCTGTTTGCTAAGATTGTTACTGTCATTTCTAGAAGTGGTCATGCATATATTTACTGAGACTCTACTACATGCCAGACACTGTGCTCGTCACTGGGATGCAATGGTGAACAAAAGACACTGTGCTTACCTTCAAGGAGTTGACTGTCTATTTAATAGACTCTAGTGGCTGGAATAAGGTATTTTGGGAAACATGACAAACGTAGGTAGCTTTCCTGCCAAGAGTGTGAGGTATTTGCATTTATTATGAATTTCAAAGAGTGATGGGTAGAGGAGGAAACAAAGGGATGTCTCTCTGAAAGAAACAATGCCTACAATAATAGTAACATGATGAAGGTGTCGATTGGAGGGACACTGCACTAATCCAGCCCTGCTGCCCCTGGGCCAGGTAGGAGAGAGCTGAGGTGGTCTGAGTGTAGAGACTGGCCATGAAAGGCTTCAAGTGCCCCTCTAATGAGCATGGACCCCATTCTGTGACCAGATGCAGTAAAACAGCTCGAGCGGTTTCAGCAGGGAGTGAAGTGGACAAATATGTTCGCACCTCCCTTCTCCCACAAGCAAATAGACAATGGAAGAGATGAAGGGAGGAGGTGAAAATGCTAAGGACATGGAAGACATAGGACTGCAAAAGGCTATAAAGGAGGAAGATAGAAGATGGAATGATAACGTCTAAGTTTCTGGCCAGTCTAAAGGAAGGTGCTCTCAATAAGCTAAGGAGCCCAGGATGGGGAGGAGGGAACTTTAGGGAGAAGATAATTTGGCCTGTTTTGAACAGGTTATATGTGACATGCTCATGGGATAGCCACAGAGCAATGTCCAGAGGGTTTGGGGGATCAGAGCTTGCTCAAAAGAAGAACCCAGCAGATAAAAGACATTTGGAAGGCATTTCTCTGAAACTGGTAAGCACAACCTTAAAAGGAGATGTGCAGAGCAAACCCTAAACAATGAGAAGCAAAGGAGGGCTCAGGACAGACTCCACACATTGTCTTTGCTGACTCAGTTTCTTCTAGCTATGCAGATCCAATCTGCTTTTTTCTATTGCATCCATAAAATTGTCTTTAATTTTCCCAGCCAAGCCACCACTCCCCATCCTCTGCCCTCTTTTCTAGGTCTTGACATAATTTGTCTTGGAATCTAACTAGCTGCGGATAAGCTTGCCTTTCCCACCTAGCCTATAAACTCCTGAAGAGCAGAGGCTATTCTTATTCTATTCTAAATGTGTCTCACATAGTAGCTGCTCAGTAAATGCTTGTGAAATTGATTAGATTGATGAGTTTCTAACTGTGAAATCCTTCTAGATGATGGGCATTATATATGCATTGTGCTGTGTGATCATGCCAACAGCTGTGAGATGTTTATTGTTATGCTCATTGTACACACAAGGAAACTGAGATTTGGAGAATGGAGCAGGTCACCAAGTCAGTAGGGGCTAAATCCCAGATTTGAATCCAGAACTATCTAACTCCAAAGTCCATACTCATTCCTCTAGGCTCCAATGCATTCAGCAGCCTGGTGTCTTCTCACTTGCTTGTGAAGAGACTGGAAAGACTTGCTATTATCAAGAATGACCAACCAAATTGGCAAGGGAGCAGTGAGTTCTCTGCCGACAGTTTTCAGGAAGCTTGTTTCTTTTATCTTTACCAAAAAGAATGATAAGCCCATTTTGCAGAGAGTTAAGCCAAAACCCCCAAAAGAGGCCACTGAGGTGTTATAGCAAACACAAAGCTTAAAAAATATGTGCATTTTTTAAATTTTATTTTGCTTGATTTTCCCACTTGGAAAATAACAAGATCCCTAAACTCCATGACATCCCCATTTCCTCATTTCATGGAATTATGTGTCTTTGTGTGTGTTTGTGTTATTAGGTTTGCTGAAAAGCCCAATGAACAAGACAGCTCTGACGCTGATTGCTGTGAACTCCTGCATCCTGGCCATGGTGTGTGGCAGCCAGATGTCCTGTCCACTCACTGTGAAGGTGACGCTGCATGTACCTGAGCACTTCATTGCAGACGGTAAGAGCCGAGCATCAGAGGTGCCCTGTACCCCAGCACCTTGCACCCCTGGCTGGTGAAATGTCTCCATGCATGGCCCAACCTCAGAATTATACTATATATATTACGGGGGAAAAAAGAAGCATCCAAAGACCTTGGAAGAGGACTTTATCATTTGGAGTCCTGGATTATTTGAATTAAATGAAAGACTGTTTTTATCCTATGTGCAAGTCGTTAAATAAAGGAAGAATTCGAATGTGAGTGCAGAAAGATTGAGCTACTTCAGAGAACCTACTGGTTCTCATCATCCTTGTGGACCCTATTCCAAACCAGAAATTCCCCTCAAAGAGTATTTCTAATGAAAAGCATAGGACAAGGAAGATCATATGAGCTGTGTTGGAATTTCCTGAGTGTCCTAGATCATAGTAATATCTCATTGCCTGTAAATGTCCTTTATTTTACCATTTCCTTTTTACCCAATTAAATTGGATTAATGAGACACTGTAGTCACCATAGTCATTAGCAAAGCATGGTCCAAGATACTTATTAAGGCGCTTGATATCTATTGCAAAAGTGCCCTCCAGAATAAAAGTGGCTCCAGTTTACATATTCCAGCAGAGTATGTATGTACCTGTTTCCCTAGACCCGTCGTCTCACATGGTATCACCATCTTTAAATGTATTAAAGTTCAGCGTAAAAATAATAAAGAAGGTATATCATGAGTATGCATCTTAATGAATTTTATATTTTAATTTTTTGTACTTCTTAATGTATCCATCTTGATGAGTTTGAAGGTAAGTATATAGTCATAAAATGATCACCATAGTCAACAGCATAAACACAACCATCACCTTTAAAAGTTTCCTCTCTTCCTCTTTTTGTTTTTTGTAATGAGGCCACTTAACACAGGATTGCATAGGAGTCCAACCTCATCAAACCATAACACATTTCCAGAACCTCAGAATGTTTCCCCTGCCCCCTTTCAGTGAATACTCCCCAGAGGAAATTGACTTTCTGACTTCAAGCACCATATTAGTATCACTAATTTTTAAGACTATTTCCCCACTGGATATATAGTGAATGTTTTTGACATCCTTCCTCTCTATTTTGTCAGCCTCATCTCAATGTAACTCAGTTTCATCTCCAATGTTCAAGTTCCAATGTTCAAAACTTAGCATTATCCCTTCAGTGTGTTCTGACCAGAGCAAAGTGAGACTCTTACCCTCTTTCTCTGAAACACCCAGACTTCTACTAATGCATGAATACAAGGGAGGCATTAATAATCAACTGAATGTATATGAAATATGCTTTGTTTTCACTTGGACTGCAGATAAGTTTATTATTTCTTATTTTATACACATCCAGTTGATTTTTGGACTTACATACAAGAGTATTGGTTCATCCCTGTCAGATTAACACATGTTGCACCTAAGACAGGCAATGTGAGAGATTTCAAGGATGGCAGAGGGAGGCAGAAGAAAGTGGACAAGTAGGTTCACAGAGCTTGGAGCTGGAAGAATTGCCAGAACCTGGGTGTGGCTGGAAAATGGGGGTGAGAGAGTAGGAATGATGATCACTGAGCATGGAAAAACAATGGGGTAAGTTTTGACCACTGTGGAAGGCATGTCCCCTGCCTTTTATCCCTCACCTGTCACTGTAGAATGTTAGTCCTTAAAAACATTCAAATTTTAAATATTTATTTTCATACATTAGAAATGGAGGTCCTGAAAGAATAACTTGCTCAAGGTCATGGTAAAATAGTTTCATGGCTAAGAGCACAGGCTTTGGAATAATACAAACATGAATTCAAATATGTGTTCTGTTGTCTGCCACTTCTGTAGCCAAGTACGAGACTCCCTCTCTCTGAGCCTTGGTCTCTGCATCTATAAAATGGGAGTAACAGTAGTACCCATCTCATAGGGTATTAGAAAGACTGCAACTCCTGCTTCTTTTTCATGTTTGTCAAATTCTCAGATAGCATGTGGCTAGGAAATAGCAACATCCAGGGATTACCCAAGAAAGCTGCAAACAGTCATGATGGTTTTGAAGCAAGTCTACAATGTGGTGAATTAAATGGTGCCCTTTCTACATGGTCCCTATTCTGATCTATCACAGACTTAAAATTTTATAACACCCTATTGACTTGTCTGATTCTGCCTCTAGACTGTAATCTCTATGAAAGTAGGAGTTGTGTCTTCGGTACAAATATCATATCCTCAGTGACAAGCCCAGTGCCTGGTCCGTAATGGATGTTCAGTAAATATGTGTTGAGTGAAGGAAAGTCACCTGAATCAAAGCAGAATTGGTAATGGTTCTGTGGGATTCTTCTACTAGATCTCTAAGCACAAAGGGGGAACCGAGTCAAAGAAAAATAAGACAGATAATGTGTGGAGATCACAGATGTTTTAAAACATACCCAGGATTTGTTCCAATCAGGTAAAACACACAGACATGGAAATGATTGTTGTGAAACAAGAAGTTTTTTCACGCATAGATCTCAGATATAGAATGCACAGTGCACCATGCAGAGCCACATGGAAAAGCGGTGGGATTGATCAGGAGGCTGGAACGAGTGGAAAGCATGGTCAACAGCCTGTATTGTGGTTACTGCAGGAAGGAACAGGTGAGATGGGATAAGCAGGATAGATAGGATTAGGATTGGCTAGTTTGAATAATTTTAGCAGGCTCTGGGGTTTAGGGACTGGCCCTAGTTGCCTGGTGCCTGAGGCGATTAGGGAAGAGGAATATTGCCTCCTGGAGTGTAAAAGCAGATAGAGGAGATGGTTGGAATATGGGCTCTGGATACTAGAGCATCAAGAATAGAGAAAAGAAGAATATGTAGTTAATACAAAAGAAAGTTGGAAATAATTGTGGAGTGTACAAGTCCTGGAGATGCAATGGAGCAGGCACAGCAGCTAGCATTGAGAGGACCGAGCCCGCAGTATCTCAGGCTCTAGGCATAAGGGAATCCCCTCCCTGACATGCTCTAATGTCTCGGTTAGCAATGTGCCCTTTGAAATGAAGCAAGTTTTGGCTTGGATCTCAGTTCCCTTGCTTACTTAACCTGTGTAACAAAGAAGAGTCAAGTAAGCTCCCTGAGTCTCATTTTTCTCATCTGTAAAATGGGGATTATCTTAAGATGACTGGCATAATGTGTACAAAGTGCCTAGTAGCATATCTAAAACATGGTGATAGCTCAGTAAATGGTAACAGTACTCTTATTCTTAAAATAACTTGTAGAGAAAGAGACTTTTGAAGCTAGAGCATGGCAGGGCAAGAACATATAGCACACTAAGTAAATTAGCTATTCTCAGTGAGGTTAATGGAACAGGGAGTACATCATGTGCCCTCTCCAAGTGGAAGTGACTTTCCCACTTGAAGACATTAACACTTGAAGAGCCTCAGTCCCTGGGGATTGGCAGGAATCCTGAGAGTAGCCAGCACTGGCTCTTGAAGTCAGGTAGAGGCTGTCGGGTAATTCCAGCCAAGCTCACCTTCCCCAGCACAGTCCCAATGCCTCATGCGGCAGAAACTCCATGGACATTGCTCATCTCATTCCCCCAGCAGCTCTCCATAGTGGTCTTGATTATCCACATTTGACAGATATGGAAACTGGGGCTTGAAGAGGAGTAGAATCCAGTCTTCCGTGAGGATAGAGAAAAATCTAACAAAGGACAATTTTTATAGATTGTACTAGTGGGGTTCCTAGCTCTGATTCCTGGAGATATGAGGGCATTACATAGCGGGAAAAGAAGGAAAGTTATGGTGGTGCCTACTTTTTGAAAGCTTGGCATTACTTAGCATTGCTAGTTATAAATGTATTGCAATCTAAAAAAATATAGTAACCCAGATAGAAAGCGTACCATTCGATCATATGTTTATATATATGTAGACACCCAGGTCACAACATTGGCCCGCTAAGACCGCTGGCTAAGTTTTAAAAAACAAAAAAAATCTTAATGAGACCTGTCCAGATGTGAGTAGGAGCTACATTTAAGACAAGGTCTCCCAAGGACCATGGCCAGGGCAGCTCTCATACTCTCTCACCCTCCCTAGGAATCTAAGCTGCCAGGGGGCTGGCCCTTACTTAGTAGAGAGCTCTCAGCCAGCCTTATACATTGAGCTGTCCGTGGTGCTGGAGCATTGGATGGGACTGAGTAATGGGTCCCGTCTTCAGGGAGAAAATGAATTCTGCCCTTGTGTTACTGCGCAGTTATACTCGATGCTTACTGCCCATTATAGGGAAAGGGTCAGTATGACATAGCACTTGTCCAGAGCCCAGCTGGCAAAGGCAATACATACTGACACAGTCCCCATCCAAACCCTTGGCAAATCTCACCCACCCCTCCTTTTGTCTGGGCTTCTTCAAGGCTGCCGGTGGCTTTTTACCCTGCTAAGCACACATTGAAGAGATAGAACATGTTTGCGTCCAAACTTACTGAAGTTAGCATTGCTTCTCCCGCTGTGGTCCATAAATCATCTGTATTTAGGTCATCTGGGCTGTTAATTCCCAGAACTAGCGAGTCAGGTTCTCTGAGGGTAGAAACCACTTATTGATATTATTTATGAGAACTCTAGGTGGTCACTTAAAAGAATTTGAGAGCTGTGTCAATATTTCTGCAAGTGTTACTTTCATTTCATCTGACATAGACATATGTGATCACTCTTTGAGACCCACCGGGATCTTCATAAGGGTCTTTAATAAGGCTCTTTGGTTTCTTCCATTTTTTACTTTATGAATGCCATACTAACAGAGCTGTCTCATAGTATAACTCCAGTGATTGTCCATAGCATTGACTACAATGTGAATGGCCGACCTTTAAGGTTTATAACATACTATCCCTCATCACACGGGTTTGGGCTTCATCAAAATTGCCATGCAGGTAGCATTACTGATAAATGGTTACTGGTTAAAATTAAAAGCCTATCTTAGCTGAGGTGCATCCCCTGAGACTTCCAATGTAAGTCAGGATATATTCACCCAATGCGGTAAGCTAATAGAAGATACAACTTTTAAAGGA